GCCATCCAAAACAATGGACGCCCGTCGTCCTCAAAACAAGACGTAACCCCAACGTCCTCATCAGCCCAAAAGCAAAGTTCAACCATCAACGATCAAGAAAGGATAGACACTACCTTCATCGGCCACTCATGCCAGAACACTCATCGTCCACAAACAAGCGCACCAAAGGAATAACAGCCTTCCCCGTCCACATCAAGGGGCAGGTAACGGCCAAACTCAGAACAGGGCCACCAACGCCACGACAGAGAACGGCCAACGTGGTCCCGCATCGGCCAAGAGCATCAAGCACATAAATCTACTCTCCTTCACTTCGTCTACATCTCAGCTTAGAGAGTGGGGGACTCCTGATGGAGTATATGGGTCTAGGCCCTAGGACCCACATACTAGGAAGAACAAGAAAGTACAAGCCATCAAGTGGTGCCCCCGTCGGCCAAAGGAGCCCCGTCGGCCGAAGAAGGACCAACTCAGAATATGATCCTGAAGACAGGGAACTTGGGTGCCCTCGTCGGCCGTGCCCTCGTCGACCGTGCCCTCATCGGCCGCGCCCTCGTCGGCCACGGAAGCCTCACAGAACTGGATTTTACACTTAATCATTCCTACACATTGTATTCGGCCCAATAGCGGTCCAGTTGTAAATGGACCTCCCAAGCCCAAGGCTTGGGAGCCCAGCCCGTAATTTCCCTATAAATACTTCCTTTGGAGGTAGTTGTAGGGGTTCACAAAATCATTCTATTGAATCATTTACTTGCACTTCTCTCGCTAGCTCTCACTTCTCTCTAGATATATACTCTATCACTAACATAAGGCGTGGCCTATACTTTTGGAAACTATTTTTGTAATTAAAGGCAACACCAAAGTTTTAAATAGTAGTAGTGGCAGCGGCAACGGCAACGGTTAATGCGGCCGCTACGATGCATACAAGGGTCGCAGCGGCGTGAAATATTTTCAAATGCGCACAAGATAGAAATATCATGATTTTTTGTATTCTTTAACAGATCTACATTAATTATATTGAACATAAATCTGTTTATTTGAACTAATAGATTAAAAAGTTAATAGATGCATTATGAATACTTCTTTGAACACTTATATGTGAACAATGAATGAACCAAGAAGAGTATGATGATTAAAAAAGAATAATAATTAGAAAGATTGCTAAACTAATCAATTATTACAACCACAATTACACATTAGCATCCACATAGATAGTTCACTGCATGCATGCATCATTCAAGTAGTTCACAACAAGTACGCATCAGCCATGCACGCATCAGCTCGACATGTTTCTTGGAAAGCCAAAAAAGCCACGTGCAGTTGGTGATGCGGTGCCGTTGGTGCCGGTAGTGGCCTATTGCAGCTGGTAGCAGCGTGGCACCGGCGGCGTAGCGGATCTGTTGCGTAGGCGGTTACGTATCGGATTTCAACGTGATTCTCATTCACATCGCAATAGCGGCCTGTAGCAGTAGTAGAGCCTACCGCGACTGCTATATAGCGGCTGCAATAGTGGTAGCAAACAGCTATTTAAATCCCTGGGCAACACAAAATGAAAACTGTTCTTATAGGTTTATTATAGAGAAGAAAAAATTCCTTAAATAGGAGTAAAAAAGTTTTGAAATTCCAAAATAGGAGTATCATATTTTTTATTCTTTGAATAGGAGTAAATTTCTGCCAAGTTTGGCATGACTAGGCTTTAAAACATGGCATTTTTTCCAAATTTGGCAGATTACTCCTATTCAAGGAATAAAAAACATGATACTCCTATTTTGGAATTTCAAAACGTCTTTGCTCCTAATTAGAGCAATTTCTATATAGAGAACAGTTTTTTAACATAGGTACGACAACAATTTTGAACCTTTTTAACAGAGCAATTAAAGAAAATTGTTGCCAAAATGTTAGATGCATTTTTTACAATTGATATTAAAAAAAGTACATAGTTTCTAAAATGACAGTATTAAAAAAAGTAATTGTCCTATATAGGACTAAAAATAAACTTAAATGCACAAATAAGACCATATCTTTTTTATTCCCTAAATAGAACTTCGGATTACCATTATACCCTCTTTATAATTAAATAAAACCCTAGGAATTAACCGCAACTCCTCTCACGATCTCACGATCGACTTTCTCGTGACTCTCCCATGACTGCTCCCCCATGGTTGGAGCTCTCACAATCGGCTCTGTTGCCACTCTCCCATGGTTGGAGCTCTCTCGATCGGCTCTCTCTTCGCCTCTCTTTGCCGCCCCTATCTCATACAGCCTTCTCTTCCACCATGGCAGTTGATTCCGATCGAGGTATGTCTTCTTCTCCTTCTCCTTCTTCTTCTTCTCCTTCTCCTTCTCCTTCTCCTTTGTCTTCTTCTTCATCATCATCTTCTTCTTTTTCGATTTTCCTCATATTTCTTTATTTTTATGGGTTTTGACATTGATTTTGTCAAATTTCGGGCTTCTATTTTCGTATTTCCGATTTCTGATTTTCGATTTCTTAGTTTGAAAATAAAATTAATTTTCCAAAATTTGGATGATGGCCTCGGATTATGCCAAGTTAATGGCAGAAATGTGCATACTGACAATTTTGGATATTGGCTTCATATTCTGCCAAATTTGTGTCAGAAAACTTACTTGATGTTATGTCTGAAATCAAAGTTATGGCAGAAATTTGTGGCTTCGTTTTTTATTCAGAAATTTGTGGCTTAGTATCGGATGTTTATATTATGGCAGAACAATTCTTATTTTATTCAATAAACTGCCAAGTCTATTGAAAGAATTTGCCAATATAATATTCATTTTTATTAACATGGCATAATTGTTTCATTTTTATGTTGTAACTGACTTCTTTTTTAGGCAACAAGATGGCAGATTTGCATCTACAAAACTTGCAGAGATGGTGGTGGTTGGACTGGCGGCATCAGAAAGGGCGACAGTGGCAGAAAGGGTGGCGGCGGCAGAAAGGGTGGTGGTAGTTTTTTTTCCTGCGGCAGATCTGCTAGGGTTCTAGGATTTTTTTATTTTTTATTATTTGTAATCCTAAATAGAATTAGAAGTTCATTAAGGGTAATTTTGTCAACTGAATACATTTTTAGTCCTATGAAACATGAATTTCATAGGGCCGGCCCTGGCCATGTCTAACAAGTGCACTCGCACAGGGCCCATAAATTTCAAAGGCCCAAAATTAAAAAATTTATACTAGTACTGTACTCTTATGTTCTATAAGGCCGAAAAAGGCACCTTCAAGGAGGGCCCAGATAAGCTGCACATTAGCTTAGGCCATGAGGTCTACTTCCGCATGGAGAGGACTAATTTATACACAATTACTAGAGTTGAGTTCTTCTCCATCATCGGTGTGGGAAATTTGAATTGGAAATGAAGACTATGAAAACCAAAATTTACTGCATGCTCCGGTGAATTTTATAAGCGGGTAGCCCCTTTTAATTAATTCTCTTCATTCACCAAACGAACAATGATTTTGTTATGGCATTGAATTTTCCTTGGTAATAATAGTAATGGAACATATGATTGTCCTAGACAATAATAGTAATGGAACTAGAGTCGGTTTGATACTCATATATCCATTTTATCAACCTTATCAGCCAACTATTTTATCAATTCAAATACATAAATTTTGACTTCAAATACTAATTTGTGTAACAATCAAAATAAATTAGATTACAGTTACTATTCTTGTTAAATTGACTGATGTTACTATAATCTTATATATGGAATCTAATACAAGGTAGTAAAAAACAACAATATATCATTTTATATTACACTTTTTATACATATAAATATTATATATATTGAGCAAAGTAAAAGTTACGCCCAATCTTGTATAATATATTTTGGATACTTATATATTTTCTTCATATATCACCATAAAATAGTACAGAGTAATTATTAGTAGAGATCTAATACACATTTTCATGCCTAGGATACGCCTATATATTTCCACATAGGCTTCAAAGGCTCGAGGCTTGGCCTCGGCGTCTTGCCACGCTTTATCGCCCTCACGCCTTTTAGAACACCGCTAGTACTATGTATGACATATCAACCCAAGTTCAAGGAAAACGAAACAAAGATAGAGAAGTAAAGAATGACTTTGGGATTAGACAGACTCCTGAATTTTAACTTAAAATTTGTAAACATGTGCAAAATTAGTTGAAGATTTCAATAATTGGTAGTAATAATATTACCAAAGAAATTTTTTGGTTCGGAGCCTGAAAATGAAAGGCCTAATTTTCATTGTTGCACAGGGCCTCCAATTTTCTTAGGACTGGCCCTGATTTTTGGGGAAGAGTTTGAGACACATTGGAAAGTTCTTGAAAAGCACTGAAGGTCCACGAGGCATCAACAGAGTGAAATTGAAGTCAAAAGAAGTCAAGGATCGAGTTCAGGGTAGAACGTGGACTCCAGGAGCATGAAAAACGGCTATTCAGACCACCACCCAGCTTGCAACCTTCAATCAGCATATATAATGTTCCGTCAATTGTTGGAGTGACTAGTTCACAGTTGTTCGCCATCTACGGTGACTTGTGAGTTGTCACTTCTAAAATACACTATATTGACTAGTTTATAGCAACTTTTCACACAGTGACTAGCCATATTTTTGTCCAAAAACGTAACTAGTCATATTTTTATCCGGAGAAACTCTATTCGTAATATATACTACGTACTACTACGTAAATGTCAATTTTTCGAAAAAAAAAAAACAAAACTCCAATTTAGAAGGATAGTACGTATGAGCATTGACCGGCTCGTCTTGGCCCTTGGGCGGGTAGTGAGAAGTTTGACCGAGCACATGCATGTCATCGCTCGTCGGGTAGGCGGTTCCATCAATAAAGAGGACGGCCAGGTCTCAACGGTGTAGATAGAACAAAATATATATATGAATGCAAGCGGCCGGCCCACACACTACTCATCATATATCATCAATTCATTCTTTCCTTTTATGGAATATTATATAGACTCCCCACTCCCACGCCTTTCCATTTTTATACACATTGACGACCCGCCTCCATCACATATTCCCTTACCTTTCTCGCATATTATTATTATTATTATTATATTATTCCTTAGCTTCCCTCTTTACATCAAATTTTTGCTCCAAAACCCATCAGCTAAGCTTCTTCAATTATATTCCAATGGAGTTTCTTGCAGGCAAATCCATCCTCATCACTGGCGCAACTGGCTTCCTCGCTAAAGGTTTATTAATTTAGTCATTCGCTCCTCACCTCTAGCTTTTTCTTAATTTTTCTATTTGAAATCATATATGTTGTATATAGGGGAGCTCGAGGAGGCCTCACTCAAATACAAAATAAATCTTGTGCATTCAATTTAGGATCTAACCGCTCAAACTAAGCAAATAATTCACTAAATTTGATCAATAACGCGGTGACAATTTTGTAAATATAATATAATGTAATGTAATTTAATTTAATTGCAGTGCTGGTAGAGAAGATACTTCGGACTCAACCAGATATAAAACAGCTCTACCTTCTCATTAGAGCCAATGATTCTGCATCTGCTATAAAAAGATTCAATACTGAGGTATATGTACTGTGTACACATATATCTATGTCCCTATAAACAAACTTCTTTATACCAACTGCCAGTTACCAGTATATAAATTGTTAGTTTAGCAATCAAAATTGTTAGAATAGGCATGAACTGTATTTTGAAAAAAAAACAATATTACTCCTATTAGAATATATATATATATACACATACATATATATATATATATATATATGTATGTATATATATATATATATATGTATATGTATATATATGTATATATATACTTGTCTGATTAAAGTTGTAACTTAATTTACCTAAAATTTTCCAGCTAGGATGTGCATATAAGCTTATTCATGCAATTGCTCCATGAAATGCAACTCCTATTAATTAAAGTATATGCAACTGCTTAATGCCTTTTACTCATAACACACACTTATTTACAAAAAAAAATTGAAATGGAAATGAAACTACAAAAATTAAATACCTTAATTAATTTTAATTAGCGTTTCAATCGTCCTTTAATTTATCATGATCTTATGTTAGGTTTACGCTCGCATTATTCGAATATTATCTTATTTCAACTAACACATGTTTTATCAATATTATATTTTAAATTTTAAATTTACCGGTTAGGGTTTTTAGCAGACCTGCGTGAGTTTGGTCCTTGGGCAGGAAAGTTTTTATCTTCAGCGCTCTTTGCAAAAACTATACGCGGGTTGTCAAAATGAGGGTTTTAAAACTTCAACTATCAATAATGAGAGTACCATCTAAAAATTCCTCCTTAAAAATAAATGTTTTAGTTAGAGGACTTTTCCCCGCACAAAAAGACTAAAAATAGTGTCATTAATGAGGGTATTTTCTACCTGTCACTAATTTTCGTAGTTAAAAATTGTTTTTCTTGTAGCGGTCGCAACTTCAAATGGGTAGCCAAACAACTTTTTCTTGTTCACACAATATTTTGATTTCATTATATATCAATGATAATCAATGACTTAAAAATCCAGGTTATGGACAGTGAATTGTTTAGAGTTGTAAAACAAAAATATGGTGAGAAGTTTAAGGCACTTGTGGAGAAGAAGGTGTCCCCGGTGGCGGGTGATATCTCCTTGAAGGAATTGGGAATTGAAAATGTTGAGCAACTCTGGGGAGAATTAGACATTATTATCAACTCTGCTGCTACCACAGTATTTGATGAGAGGTACTGATTGCCTACAGCCTACACAATAATAAGTGCATTATTATCTGTATATAAAATTGTATTGTATTAACGTCATTTTTCAATTTATTTTCTTCTCCCCAGCTAAATTATTTAAGACACGTCACGGGGTCACCTAATAAATAATACTCCGTAATATTAAATTGATCTACATGCAATAAGTAGATGCTCAGTTTTAAATTGTCAATTTTTCATTCTAAAATAAAATTGACAATTTTATAAGTAGATGTTCGAATTTTTTATTGTTGCTATGTGATACGTATTTAGGTTGCTAATTTCTTTACATGTGCAATTTATTCCATTATTTTACAACTTTTTTACATTACTTTATTATTATTACTATTTGCGCTTTTAATGTGATTTTTATGTTGGACAATGATCATGTAAGGTGGCATTAAAAGTTATACTCCGTAATCTTTAGACCACTTTTATTTGAGGTGCTTCCGAGTCGATTTTTTTGATTAAATCTCATGAGCATGTTCTCCATAGATTGTAAATTATACCCACCAAATTTGAGTAAAAAATTCAATCAGAAAGTCAGTTAAATAAATTATTTTGAAATATTGATGTTTTTTATGCATAAAATCTATAAAGCTCCATAAGTGATGAAAAGCTCCATAAGTGGAAATAAACGGTGAAATAATTTTTTTATTTGTAAACAGGGAGGAAAAGCTCCATATATAAGTGGAAAACTAAACTTCGAAGATTGAGTTAATTAGTTGCAAATTATGTAATTGATTTGTGGCTTTTGATTAGTTCTCATCAGTTCCAAAAATCCATCAAGCACATAACTTTACTCCGTATAACTTTACATTACTATTACATGGGCCTATCAATCTATCACATAAGTTGAACAATAAATATTTTTCAGGTCTACCAAATTTGACTTTTGTGTCTATCTCCCTGTCCGCTCGATAACAGATTTTTTTACACAGTATTAATTGTGTTTTCCTACCTAATTAGTTTCTTGATTTGGCACTCCTACCTAATTAATTTCTTGATCTGGCACTCAACTCCTACTCAAATAAAATGGAAAATACTGTTTTACACGCCAAATTTACAAGATATTTCACACGCCTGTCATAAACAATAATTTATTTGATTTTGTGAAAAGAATCTTTTTCACATTGACAAAAAAATATGTATATGTCATACACAAAAAAAAATTATGGGGTGTTTGGTTAGGAGCCTAGCAGCCACTTTTTGGCTGATTTGATCAACATTTAGCCTTTTGACCAATCAATCAGCTAATTAGGGTGTTTGGTTAAATGGCTTTTACGTTTGGCTTTTTATCTCCAGCAGCTAAAATATGAAATGTCAATCACTCTAGCGTTTAGGATCGGCTGTTATGATTATTCTTGCGTTACCCCCGTTTCTTTTTCATACGGGCCTCCTACTCGTTAGAGAAAATCGGTAGAATTGAAAATTGCCCCCCACTCGTAGTGCTTCTTTCTATTACTGGTAGTTCCTAATATATACAAAGCATTTTTTTGGAATCATGAAATGAAATACAACGGCGAGCAGGCATTTGATTCAATTCATCCTGCTTCATTCATACATATTTCTTTACTTAACACATGTATACATATGCTTAATAGCATTAGTTTCTTGATATGATTTTAATAATAACTCCATTTATTAATCAAAATATCATCACACTAATTAAATCTATCAATTCATGAAAAACGATGTTGAAAATAATTACTATTTGTGTTAGAGTATTTTTTATTTTTGAAAGGATTAAAATGGTTTAATTAGTTATACTAATTATATTAATAAGAAAATATATAATCAATGTCTTTAAAAGTCATTTAACAAGTTATCCGCTGATTGTAAACACTCATTTAACCAAACACTATTTTACAAACAGCTAATTCTACCAGCTAATCAAAACAGCCAACAGAATCTGTTATCTTCAATCTGCTAAAACAATCAGCAACAGCCAACAGCCAAAACTAATTGTCAAACACCCCCTATATGTGAAAAATGATTCTCTTCACAAAATGAAAAATGGTCTCTAGATAAATAATGTGATTGACATGTAAAATGTCGTGCACAACAAGCGTGTAGACGAAACATGATTGAAATAAAATACGTAGTAGTTTTCTTTTTTTGGAAGAGAATGCATAAAACATTATTCATAAAATAGGTATCTACGTGCAAAGAAGGAAAGAAATAAGAGTCAATGTCTTAAACAAGATTGAGTGACATATAATGTACGTAGTAGTAGTTTATAAATTTTAAACATATATATGTGTGTGTGTGTGTGTGTGTATATATATATATATATGTAATAATTGTTTGCTTTGCTTTCTTTATATAAATGTAGGTACGATGTCGCAATGAGTATTAATACAATGGGCGCAACAAATGTTCTGAATTTTGCCAAGAAATGTCATAATCTTAAAATGATTGTCCATGTATCTACTGGTACGTTTGAATAATTGAATGGAGAATTATGTTTCACAAAATTTGTACACTTTTTGTACACTCTCCTTAGTTACTTGTGTACATAAACAGTTTATATAAAAAAATTAATAATTGTCTACAATTATCTGCATACATAAAGTGTATACAAAAAAAAAGTAAAATTTTTGTGTACAACAAGAAATACTCTAATTGAATATGTACTTCAAATTATTTTTAAGCAGTATATACACACGTGTACACACACAAACACACACACATAATTTGTCTCAATAATTAAAGATGGTTTTTAAATGGAAATATGAACTAATATTTCTCAATTGTACTGACATATGGATGGATGAGATTAACTTTTTAATTTAAAAGGGAAATAACGCTATTGTAGATATATATGAATAACTTGATATGATACTACACTCTAAAAGTGCATGGAAAAAATAAACATTGTATGTATTCACATTACAAAAGTTTAAATACAAGAATCTCAAATAAAATTAAATGTTCACAGTTCAATGTAAATGACAAAAATTTTTAACATTTATTTATGAATAAACTCTTATTATGAGCGAGTATGCGACACACTTTTTAATGTAAAATAATGCACAATAAAGTTTTAGACAATTACAATTTCACCACCCTTTTTAAAAAAAATATCTAATCCATCAATTTTCAAAGGGAGAACTACCAAATAAGCTCTCGAACTTTCATAAAAAGTGCAAGTAAGCTCTTTTATAGGAGGCTGTCGCTATTTGGGGTGGTTTCCGGTGAATTTTTTTGATTAAATTTTTTTAGAATCTTCTTCATCAAGTTTAGTTTACTCATACCAAATTTCAGCTAAAAATTCAATTGGGAAAGCATTCAAATGAATTTGAGTACCACCGGAAACCACCCCATAAAAGGGCTTATTTGCACTTTTTATGAAAGTTCGAGGGCTTATTTGATTATTCTCCATTTTTCATACAAAATACTTATTCAGTTGAGCCTTCTCATATACTATGTATTATATACATAATGAAAACAAAGACAAAGCAATTCCACAAGCATAAACACAACAAAGCAAGTAATAAGTAAAAAGCCAAGTTGTATTATTTGTTATTTTAAAAGTGATGGGAAATCAAGCTAAGGTATGCATGTTATTTCACTGAATCAGTATCTATCGTAACACATAACAATGTATGGTGTGCAGCATATGTTTGTGGCGACCAAATCGGAGTAATATCGGAAAGACCATTCCGTCTGGGTGAAACACTTAACGGGCATACTTATTTAGACATTGATGAAGAAAAAAGGGTAATAGAGGACAAACTAGTGGAGCTTCGAGCCCAAAATGCAACTGAAAAACAAGTCAGGGTAGCAATGAAAGTTTTGGGCATCCAAAGGTACATGACAATGTGATCCAAAATTAGTTCTAGTTTTTCTCTTCTTTTTATATTTTTATTAATTGTAGCTACAAGTGAGAATTATTCTTGTAGCTATCTCAAAGAGTAGAAAATTTAATTGATGATGACGAATCTTTTGTGGCAACATATATGCAGGGCAAAGCTTCATGGATGGCCAAACACATATTCATTCACAAAAGCAATGGGAGAAATGTTGTTATTAAAGTTTAAGGAGAATATATGTGTCATAATGTTACGCCCTACAATTATAACAAGCACTTATAAAGAACCTTTTCCTGGATGGATTGAAGGTGCAAGGTGAGTAACTTTAAATTTGTAACCTCCATCCCTTTCAAAATGTGATTATTTATCATATGGAAATAATGTTTTCATTATTAATGTTTTTTCGTATTTCCAATATGTGTTTTCATTTTTTAATAACAATGGCAGAACCATGGACATCTTTGTACTGATGTATGGCAAAGGCAAGTCAAATTTCATGATGGGTGATCCAGACTCAATTCTCGATGCGGTATGTGTATAAACATTATATATTATAGAACGTTAAATTTCGAACTCGATCAAAAAAAATATATTCAATCCCGAAGCATGTATGTAGCCAATTTTTTTTTTGAACATCAAGTAGTTAAAGTTCAAAGTATATGTGCAGATTACTATTGGATATTTAGATTGAGTTCCATTTCTTGATTGACAAAGAAAACAACTACTACCTACTTCACAAAGTAATAATGATCTGTTTAACGTAATATTACCCAAAAGGATCATGTAAATTCATTGAACATGAGAAGTCTAGCTACAAGACGTCAATTTAAATGAGATGCTGAAATGGGTTGATCAACTATCCCACCAGTCAAACACTAGTCAGTTTGAATGATTAATTTGAATTCAATGAATTGTAACATCACATAAGGACTGCATGCTAGATACAGTTCATCTTAATTCCACAAATACTACTACATTCAATAAATTGTATATTTATGTAATATATGCAGATTCCCGGAGATATGGTGGTGAATTCAATACTTGCGGCGGTCATGCATCACGGAAGTAACTGTCATCAAACATATAGGGATGATGAGTTGATATATCATGTTGGCTCCTCAGCTACCAATCCTTTGACAATATTGGACCTTGGGAACTATTTATATCGCTATTTCATAGACAATCCTTGGTCAACCAAGAGTGGAGGCCTTGTCAAAGTAGCCAAGCCCATGTTCCTTACTAGTTTGAACGAGTTGAACAAATACATTTCATTTCGTTATCTCCCAATGTTAAAGGTACATATACCACTTCATATATCAAATTGTCTGAAATAATTAAACTTGTCTTATTTGAGCCCTATCCGCCTCCACGTAGTACACTGTACACGTCATTTATCATTTCTTGTATTGTAATATCAATGATAAATGGCATGGAATATATAAAGTATCTTCCACATACAATTAATAAATGAATGATATCCCAATTCAATTTTTCTACCAATTTTTCTTTCCACTTCCCACAATTTAAATTGATCGACAGATGGCTTGTGTAATAGTTTAAGATTGTTCTATAGTGATGTAATTAAATAGTAATTCATGCTATAAGATTCAAAGTTTTATCCTCGACGTAAAAAGGATGGTCTTATATGTGAGTTTATGTTTTCACATTTAGTCAGTGTGAGATAGCTTAACATATCTCGCAACGTAGTGGTCGTCGGAATAAATTGATGTGATTCTTAATCCTATTACAAATAGAGCATATCAACTATTAGTTCTAGTGGTTATGTATCATTTTCAATGCCTTTGGATCTTAGTATGGGAATTTTGGAATTTGTTTGAATGATAATCACTCACACACACACACATGCACCACCTATAAGGATAAATTATTTCCGGTTGCCCTAATTTAGTTTTTTCACTATATTTATCACTGAAAAATTGTAGGTATTAAAGTTGTTGAACATGGTAGTTTTTCAATACTTTGACGAGAAATGTGTAACCATTGAGAAAAATATAAGTTTCGTGATTCGGATTGCTGAGCTCTACAAGCCATACTTGTTCTTTCATGGAAGGTACGCATATTTCATAACAAGGTTTTTGGAAAACGATTATAAGTCTAGGCATACTTTCCCCCCTACATTTACTAGCTACATTCATATGTGTCATTCATTTTTATGTGAAAAAGGTAGATAGCTTTTCAACATCTAATAAATAAATGACACATGTGAGTGCGGCAAAAAATGAAGGACACGAATGCTTCCTCTCTTTACTCAGAATACCAAATTGGTGGTCTTGCACATTCCTTGATTTTTACAAAGAAGTGCTTGATGATGGAGAACCAAATTAGGCGTTTTCAGTTAAAAAAAAGTTTTGTATTGATATCTGTGCAAAAGAGAGTGAAATCATAAGAACCACGCATACAAGATATTACTTTTAAAGAAATATTTTTGGGACACTAAAAATGAAAAGTTGGAAAAGTATAATAGGAAGGAGGGAGTGTTTTTTTAAAACTCTATAAATGAATGTTATTTTATACAAATTCTTTCTTTCTAATATACCTCACTATGCACAACTTTAATACTTTATATGTTCAAATTAACCTTAGCAAACTGTCTGGTCGGTCCTTGAGTATCTTAGGATAGGTTCAGTTTATTTTTTAAATACTTTTGTGTATTTCATTTTCTTTAACACGCAAATATGTTATACGTTCTATGTTGCAGTTTTGATGACACCAACACAAAACGATTGAGAATGGCTACAAATCAAACTAGCATGTCAGATATTGTAAACTTTGACCCCAGCTTTATCCAATGGGAGGACTATTTCATAATTACACACATTCCGGGAGTTGTAAAATATGCGTTCTAATTATGAAACAATTTGTCAAACGTAAAATATGTAATTTGTTTGAGTGAATTTATATTCAAAATTATTCAATAATATAATAATTTCAATTATATCCCGTAACTTTCTATTGTACCCTTAGCTCTTCTAACTTTATTCACATACAAACTTAATTCCAATAATGTATTTTTATTTTTCAACCAAAGTGAGTGTTTCTCTGAACTTAACATCACTATAACAAAATATATAGAGCGTTTGTAACGCTTCTAAAATGTTACATTAGATATTTTAAATTTTACAAAAGGGCTAAACCAACATGCTTTTGAGGATGCTACTTTAGGTTTAATTGCATAAAAATGTATGCAACACGTACATTTATTAATAGATTGCAATATTGTGGAAAAATTACAAAACAATTTGATGATAAGCTTATTCCCTGAAAGCAGAAGCATCTTACTCAAGGGGGCAGGTTAATTTTAATTCGACATGTTCTGAATTCTCCCTTTGCATATTTTGGTTGTGGACCGAAGTAATTTATATTTTTTGGTTGTGTTACTATACAAGACAATTTGTTTGGGACCGAAGTAATTTATATTTTTATATTACAATAAGTGTATGAGAGTCATTCATTTAAAAGACACACTACAAATATATAACAGAACCAAACCTCTATTAAATAGACGTGACTTGCAAAATAGAATTATTATTGTTCATTAATATGTGTACTTAATTAATTGTTGCTTCCAATTACTACATTTACCACGTCTAAATTGAATTACGTAATTTGCTAATTAATTAAGCCAATTATATGTCCATTAATTGTTTAAGATAGGAACTTACTTGTATAGTATGTGTAGAATATGAATATATATGTGCATGTTGTGACGATAGGAACTTTTATTTCTCATTAAGATAGGAACTTACTTGTATAGAATATGAATATATATGTGCATGTTGTGACGATGCTCTTTCATACTGCAGGCTAAGAATGAAGAGAGAGAGAGAGAGAGAGAGAGAGAAGAGACTGGACCATTGAGTGAGTTACTCTAGGAAAGAGTAGTATTTATAAGGAAGTGAATGATCATTCTATAAAGAAAATTCATACCCCAAGAACAGGCTGGCGAGTTTTGATTGGCTGAAAATACACATGCCCCAATGAACAGGCCGGTCAGAATGGATGGGCTGAATTCTTTTGTTACAAATTTTAATACAGAGTATCTTAGAGATATTGTGTGTGCATGCTCCCTGAAACAACCTGACCAGACCTGATTGGTGATGTAAAGTATGTGTACTGTTGAACTTTTAATAGTATGTGTACTATGCACATGTACGGATAAAGACCCTCACAGCTTTATATACTTCTCTCATGTAACTTCGTTGCAGTTTTTCATCATGAGTACCAAGAAAGTTTCCTTTTGTATACTTTTTAGACTAATTTATTTTCTTTTTTCCCAAGCACTATTTTTTCTTTGTTAGCTTGCACTGTTTGCTGATTTTGACATTTCCAAGCGGGAATACTGTTGAAAAAATAGTGCCAAAAACCTTTTGCTTTTATATAATGATAGATACGGGATGATGAAATAGGATATAGAAGCGTAATTTAAGCTTTGAATTGTTCATAAAATACATAGGTAGGACAGGATAAAAATTAAGATAAAATCTAGAGTTAATTATCAAAATAGGACTAAAAGTCATTCACTTTTCACAAATAGGACCAAAAAATAAACTATGTTTGCATAGGACTAATTATGTGTACCTTGGACAATTATACCCTTATAGCTATTAAAATATTTTAATTCCTAATAAAATAATAAAAAATAATAAAAATTCGTAAAAAATACTAAAAAATTAAGAAAAACATTTCGATATTAAAAATTTAATTATTTTGTTTTTCAAAAAATTAAAAAAATTAAAAAAAAAATAAAAAAAAAACTCAAAAAAACAAATCGCCGCCGCCTCTGCCGCCTCAGCACCTCCACCTCCAGTCACGAGGGGAAAAAAATGCTATGTTGATTACGAATGCCATATTTATGGCAGAAAAAAATGAAAATGTTGGCATTCGAAAAGAGAAATATGCCACTTTTTTTGCATTTTCAGAAAAAAATGGCATTTTTCTGGGAAAATGGCATTTTTTTCATCGGCCGGAGGTGGTGGTGCTGGGAGGTAGTACAGGCGGTGGGAAAGGCATCCATATTTTTTTAAATTTTTTTTACGGAGTTTTACTATTTTTTATTAATTTTTTTTAAAATAAAATTATTTTAAAAACAAAGTTTTTGAATTTTTTATTTTATAAAAATTTTATAAATTTTTTAATTATATTTCTACGAATTTTTGAATTTTTTCGAATTTATTATGAATTAAACATTTAATTATGGCTTTTGATTATTTTTAATTCATATTTAATGGAAGGGTAAGAATGGAATGCAAAAATATGTATGTTTCCAATAGGACTCATATGGTCCTATTTTGGAATAAAAACATAGCAAGTCCTATTTTAGGTTTTTGCCATAGTTTTAGTCCTATTTGAACTAATTTCTATAAAATCTATAAATAGGAGTAAACAACTTTTTTATGAATTAAAAATTTGTGAACTCGATATATTCCATCAATTGGGTGGCCTATGTGGCAATTAAGATCAGAAAACTTTAATAGAGCTGATGGTACCATGGACACTGACCATGGTCCAATTATACAATCCAGCCCATAACGGGATGCAGACCATTAGTGGGATTAGCCCTCAAACGGGATTAATGTTAGATAATCACTGGGCCTAACTAGGGATCAAGCCTACGAGAGGAACCCAAAGCTAGGCCAGGCTGGAAAGCGAGCCTGGGCGTAGTTCTAGTGAGGTTGGGATATTCCTAGGGCTGACGTGGCACGCTATCATTAGAACGGCAGCTGGCAGGAGTTAACGGCAGGAACGTGGGAATAAAGGAACAATTATTGCACAACGGCCAAGACGTTACAAGAGTCCTATTCGAACTAATGCGTAATTAATAGCATTTATTGTATCAGTTTCCTTTGGTAACACTAGTTCCTTAGCCTATAAATATGACTTGTAAACCTCCTAAAGGGGGATCGAAAACATTGATCAATAGAACACTGCCTTACGCTGCCAAATTTCCATCTGCTCCTGTAGATTTAGCTCTCGTAATTGGATTAAACTCTATCATCTGGTGCTCTCATTGAGAGATCGATCTACGACGAACCATGGTTGGATCCCATAGCCACAACTGTGTGGGCAGCAATTTGGGCGGTGATCGTTTCGACCAGGTGTTGATCGGGGACGAAGGTTCTCGGTCACGCTGGAGTGACTTTCAAAGGCGCAACGATAACACGGCGGGACAGGAGGATTTGAGGAATCATCTCCAATGTGTGGGAAGTTCCAGGAGGGCAGCAACACGACCGCCGTAGTTTCAGACGCCAGGCACAGTGAATCGTATCCCCAATGTTAATCCAGCTCAGGCCTTAGCGAGTTTGGCGACGTTCCAAAGGGCAGTGGAGACTCTGACCACTGCTTTCCAAGGCATCATCCCCGACGGGGGTGCAAGGTCCCCTTCCCCTCGCCAGGCTCCGTCCATGCCCCGACAGGAGGAGGAGAGGCATGAACACTATAGGAGGGGCTCGCCGCCATCCCGATCTCAACGTTCCCATCGTTCCAAGCCAACCCCAAGGACCTCAGTGATGGATCGAATCGGAGAACAAAGGGTCTCCGTGCATAACACGATCTCATCCCGACCTGATCCGAGTGTGGAGGCATCATCTGCGGCTGCTTCGTACCACCGCCGTAGCGTGCGTGGGGGAGATCTCAGAAACGAGATCAACGCCAACTGGCAGGGCCACGGGAATCGACGATCCCCACCTCGGCAATGAGCGGTCCAGGGCAACGATGATCTCAGGAGAAGACTTGACGAGCTTCGGAGGGAGGTGGACACCAGGATCAACCCCAACCATAAAGTAAGGATTCCCGAACCATTCATTCGTCAGATCATGGATGAGCCGCTACCCCAGGGATACAAGCCTTGCAATATAGAGGCATACCGGGGAAAGACAGACCCACAACACCATGTTTCCAGATATGTGATGTATATGGTGATAATGGGGCATAAGGATGCCATCAAGTGCAGGGGGTTTTCGGTAACATTCGATGGGCCAGCCCGAGAGTGGTAAGATTCCTTGCCCATTGGAAGGATCCAGAATTTCAGGGAGTTGGCCCATGCTTTTGTGACCCGGTTCGCCAGCTCTAAGGATTCCAAGAAGAATTTTTCTCACCTTTTGGGAATCAAGCAGGGACCCCAGGAAGGCTTAGCTGATTTCTTGATCTGGTGGAGGGACAAATCCGTGAAGATAGACGACCTGGATGACAAGTCCGTTGTTTCTATACTCACCAATGCCCTGAGATCGGGTGAGTTGTATAAGGATTTTGTTCGAAACCCTCCAACTTCGCATGAGGAAGCCCTGCAGCGAGCAAACGCGCAAGCCGGAGTGGAAGAAGCTGAGAAGAAAAAGAAGGAAGAAGAAGCCGGGAAACGCCAGTCTAAGGGCGAAAGGAAGAAATCCCTTGAAAAGTAAACCCTTGATTCTAACAAGTGGAATGGGACCAGGAAGAAGAAGAAGGGCTGGGGAAAGGGCAAATCAGGTGTTCCTGAGGGGCCACTAGCCAGCCACCCAGATTTCTCTCCTTCCGCGCATCAGGTGAGTACTGTCCTGGATTACACCGCAAAGCAGGGGTTGATCGCCACCCCTGAGGGGTGGAATATCATCCACAATCAGAACCCCAAGAACAAATACTGCAAAATCCACAAGAGCGACTCTCATCAGACCGACAATTGTTACATTTTGAAGAAGTGCGTGGAAAGGCTCGTACGGGAGGGTCAACTGGAGCAGATTGTGAAGCGAGCTCAGCAAGGACAACATCCCCCAAAGAAACATACCTGGAACAGGGAAGAGGACGCGCCGACCTCATCCTCCAAGAAAAGGGAGGTCGGGGCCCAATTTGAAGATGACGATGAAGGGGAAGATTCTGGTAGACAGAAACGACCACACGTCAACCAGATCTACAGAGGACCTGTGGGAGGAGATACAGCGGGGGAGAGGAAGAAGTGGAACCGCCATCTG